TTATTCGATCCAGAAGTAGGCGAAAGCGGTACGCTCACTCATTTCCTAGGGGACGTACGACCAGGTGGTGTCACCCAACTCCTTTTCCACCCTACTCAGCCGCACATCTTGTTCGCTGCGTCTAGGAGAAGTCCCGTCGTTCAAGTGTGGGATTTGCGAAATCCGTTATGCGTTGCTGCGGAGTTGGATCGATGGACGAGTGAAGGGAAGCTGACGAATCAGAGGTTGAAGTTCGATGTAGATTTGGGGGGAAAGTGGCTTGCAGCTGGCGATGAGGTATTCTGCCGTCTTTTTTTTCTTATATAGATCGTGCATAGTGATTTTCTTGCTAACTTGTTTCCTCGTTAGGCTGGTTGGCTCTCCATATTTGACGTATCCAATGGATTAAGTTTCAATACTGAACCTGTTTTGAAGTTCAGGGCTCACAATGGTGAGTAGAACAGAACGTTTGCGCAGATTGATTTTTGACACATGCTGCAGATGCTATCGGATCCGTGTCATTCCATCCTATTCAATCCTTGGCGTTAACGGTATCAGGCTCACGACATTTCGACGTTACATCTCCAGCGTTACCCCCTTCCAGGCCAGCTAGTACTACAGATATGACATCCGACTCTGGCAGTGACTCTAGCCTCGATGAGGAACTTGAGAACAATGGAATTAGAGTCCATGATCCTACTATCAAGCTCTGGAACTTCTCTCCTCAGTCAACCATCCCGCATTCTCCAAAGTAATGCAAGAATATTATCACTATACGTACTCTTGGGTGAATGTAAAAAAGGGCACCATAATTATCCAAAAAATGCAATATAAGATTTTCATCATGAATCAAACGAAGGCCAAAGAGCAAGCTGGTGAAATTTCATTCTAGTCACGGGTTCAAGGAGATCGGGTCTCCAGAAGGACGGCATCCAACCATCGAAAAAGAGCACGTTCCAACATGTCTTCCCAACCTTCTTCCCGTCTCGCTGGGACTCTGGGATCGAAGAAAATGGGGGGTGATAGTATGGGATCAATGAATGTGCGGGGCAACTTTAGACGTTTGGCTGAGCCATCCTCAGCAAGTGGCGAGTCGGTAAATGGTATCATGTACCTGAGACCCACGGCACTGTTTCGTTTCATTACAATGCCCAAAAGATCAGAATAGGAGGTAGCAAACCGAGAGAACGAGGTTGGACTCACGCAGCCCAAAAACGTAGATTTTCCGTTCTTCTAAACGTCCATGTTGTTTTGCCCTTAGTCTGCATGCCAGATCCCAGGCTCATGGGGTCCTTCTCTTCCTCCACATCGGAATCCTCCGTCAGCTCCAACAAGTCATGCACCGTCTCAAGCTGAATGAACCCCCAGGGCCTCTTGCTCTTTCTGACTGCACCATTGTAAGCTGTACAAATGATCTGACCATCAGAAAGAACATCAAGGAGCTTGGATCGGAACTTCCTCTGAGCGGAAGACGGGGAAGCAGGGGGAGAGGAAGGTGGGGTGGGTGGAAAGGGGAGGAATGGAAGAAGGTCTGGTGGAAGGTAGGATATGAGGAAACTCAAAAGACGACTCAAAGGCTCGTGATGGAATTTTGACCGCTTTGCCCAGTCAGGCAGTTCATTGTCCGGTATTTCCTCTTCCTCTTCCTCTTCCTCCTCTATAGCCGCATCATCCGTGTCTTCAGTCTCTTTGACGGAGGCAAGGTCGTTCATGGCATGAAGGAGACGATGACTAACTAGTCTCTTCTCGTCGGTTTTTCGTGGAGAACCTCCCACCCCACCGAAGCTGGGCCGTCCAGTTCTCTTGTTCAACTTGCTTCCACTTGCCATTTCTATCTTGGCACGGACCCAGCCTCTGTGACCTGGCACTCCGCTTGCGCCTCCGAACAGTATCTCGTCTACGACGTCCAGGTATTGGTTTACGATTTCCTTCTCCTTTCCTAAACTGGCCAGATCAACGTCGTTCCGGTATAACCATCCACCTCCTAGCACAAGTCTCTCATCCCATGGATCCCGCTTGGAATCCTCATCGATGTCATCCTCCCATTCATCATCGCTCGGATCAGCCCATACGTGCACTGCTTTATTTCTACCTTGAACGATTAAAGGCACGACATCGGGGCGACTGGGTGACTTGGTGGCCCTCCGTCCACCACGTGGAGAAGACCACGATGTGGACGAGGAAACTGCCGTCCCTCCTCCAAGTTCGCTCACGTCGTCGTCAGCTGAATGCGTGGATGGGCTCGCCGTCCGTTCGGTAAGGAATGGCGTCGGACTTTGTGATATCCTTCGATTTCCAACACCCGAACCGGTCATCTCGAACGGGTCATCTGACATTGGCAAACGACATCGCTCTTCGATATCCCGAAGGGCACCCAGGACGTCCAAAGCAGATTTCCTGATAAGGGTGAGAGTTGATGGGGGTAAGGGGACTGTGAGGACCTGAGGGGGTGGGGCTTGAGTCGTGATATGGTGAAGTGATTTGGTTGACTTCTTGGGTGAAACTACGCGTAATGATGCGTATTTCACTTTCTGGTGTGGCTGGTTCCGGAAAGCGTCTACAACGTGTGGTCTGAACTTAAGTGATGGATCGTCTTCAGGTAATGCTAGCATGTAATTTCGAACTGATCGAATGGCACGCGTGGTGACCTTCAGGAGGTCGAGGATATTGAGGTGGTTTGACGGCACAGAGGGACTAAACGGGTCGAGTAATTTCATTGTTTGTAAGCCTAGTGCAGATGACCCTGTGGGGGACAACGACCAGCAGGTCTGGACATCTTCAAGATCCTGAATGGCCGTTGCTTTCAACGCGTCCACGTCGATAAAGGGTGTCGGATCCACGGATGGAGGGGCATGTGATACAGTGCTCTTAGGGAGTTCCGGAGAAGGTGGTAAATCGAAAATGAGAGTTGGGACAGAAGGTTGATCTTGCGGGATCGCCAAAGGGCCCAGTGCCGGCACGAAGGGCCCTTTGCCGCTCAGAGGTCTGTTCAAAGCGCGTTCAATACGCGTCAAAGCTTACACCGACAGTTATTGCTCACTTCTTGGAAGCAGAAAGACCTGTTTTGGTGAAATAGTGCTGCAGGTGCTCTATGCTTCCTAATGCAAGGACGCTGTCCCGTTTTGCTGCGCTTTTCGAGAACGGTTTCTCGACCTTGTTTGTCGAATTAATATTTGGGTATACTGCTGTCTGTCGCCTTTGCTTTTTCCGCTCTACATTGCTTGGGGATGACTGAGCGCTGTCCATCAAGGGCCAACGATGTGGCAGTGGATGCGGGTTTGGCCGGGGCCATGAGCTCAGCCATTCAAGCTCTCCGAACGCTTTGCGTCAACTATCAATGTGATGGCCTACTGCCTCGCATTATGTTTCATGTAAAAGGTCTACGTAGCAGCTAGCCATAACATGTGTCTAAACTCACATACCACGCCGGGTTCCATCGATTGGCTTCGCTTCGTACACGACACGCTCCGCAGTTGGTTTGTCTCCTTCCTAGCGGTTTCACCCTTGGTTATGATGACTAGCATGCGACCTAGATTCGGATCATGGACGTGATGGAGGCATGGGACTGGCTCCCACACATAGAGGCGGACTGAGACTCCGAGAATCCGAGGGACGCGCAAGGTGAGAGCTATGGCACACCGTATTGTTTGCTCACATGGCGCTTCCGAGTGCGCTCATGCGGTCAATGTCAATCTTCCATCGTGAGAGGGGGCACTGCTCCAGAACTGGTCTTTGAAAGCATTCCGTGAGGAATCGTCACCCTCATCGGTGCAAACCTGTTTGAGGAGTTGGATAACTTATTGCGCGATAGCCGATTTTATGAATTGCGCTCGCACACTCATTGGGTTCGAAGTGTCACTCACTCTTCCTGGAATTCGATCAGAGTGCCACCATCTTTGGAGCTTCCTGTTCCCAATTTCATGCAATATCGTTAATGCGAAGTATCGTAGGTAGACTCAGCTTCTTGCCTTTCTCGGTGTCATGCCTGTTGCTTTCTGTGCGGCCTCGTCTCGATCACAGGAGATGGTTATTAGTTTTTCTATTTAGAGATCTTCGCTCGGCCTCGACCTCCGCGAGCTTAACTAGCTTCTTTTCTTCACCGAGGCTCGTAAAATCGCCATGACCAAATAGGAGACCTTCTTCGGCCCCCAATTGTATTGCATTATCGGTCAAGAAAAACTCTGTCGCATGTCTCTGGGCCTTGATTCCGTGAAGTATGCTTTCAGAACCGAACTTAGCGCAGCGAGCTCAAGCATCTGGATGAGCACTTCCTATGACCTGAAGGGACTGGCCACAAGATCAAGATACATTGATACGATGACGGCCTAGGTTAAACGCGTCCGAAGCGGTACTCTCCTTCTGGCCACTTCCTTAGCAGGCGAACAGACAACCCGCAACCCGTCGCTGGACTTTGCGCAAGCTCGCTGTCATTCTACAGGACCTGATCATATTTCCGGATACTTTATTCTTTGATCACAATCCTTACCTGTTTCGCATGAGCATGCATTCCGCATGCCTCCGGTCTTCCATGTTTGTGCAGCAGGAATATCACACATCAGTGGGATCACCTCACTCCCGGAACTAGTTGTCAAATCCACAATGAATGACTACTGGTCTGAGAGGTGGCAAGGCTATGCGATACCTCTCGATTGTTGCTGATTTATTGTTGCGGTCAAAAGCTGTAGTGTAAACCTACTGATTAACCTGAAATGATGCCACGGTATGCTATAGCTGCTGGGTGTTGTACTCCTTTCTTGGCCAAGGACGTTATGCATGGTACCGCCCTTTGCACAAGGCTAACTTGGCCATCTGGTATCATCCCTGGTTCTGTGAATACTTCGCTGAACGGGTCAATGGGACAGCTCATTGATCAGCCCTTTCTAACACTATGCCTACTTCCGAGCTTCCTCTTACCATGACTGGCAATTCTACGCACTATGTGACGCCCGGACGAACCCGAAGAACGGGGCGGCACGGTCCGGCCTACGTAATCCACTGGACACGCTGGCCATTTGGTGGGTCTGGCATGCTTTAACGATACCCAACTCGTTATTCACCCCCCCCCCCCCTTCGAGCAGCATTTAGCCAACTTCAACCATGGGCATCCTCGGGTGGTTCTACCTGCTTGTCAGGCATCCTGACGATGTTCGGACATTGGTGCAATATAAGTTGTTGTATGAGCCTCCTCTCCCTGCTGCACCTTGGGCGTCTGGAATACTCCAACCCATCCACATTCTGGAATTCAGGACCCACATATGAGCAACCCGATACACGGGTATTGTGGCTCAATGTCCATGAAACTATTAGCCGTCCTCGAACACACTGCTTTCTTCACACCTATACTCTTCAAAAGAACGCACAAGGATGTTGCGTTGTTATGGTGACTCTTGCCACCCCTCTCCCTACTGCACCTTGGGCGCCTGGAACACTCCAATCCATCGGGGCCCTTCACATGACTTGCAGTCAGCCCTAGATGCGTTACCCAGGATGATCTGGGATCCATGGAGCAGCATATGACCCGATCCATGGGTGATCGCGGCTCTAGTCTCATGGCTCGTCGTGAAGCTATTGGCAGTTCAACAAATCGTTATCATGATCAATACTCCAGCGGAATTCATGCTGGGCAAATGAAGGCCAGGCTACCTCCGCCTTGATATGACCGCTCCTGATTATGTAGTGGTGAACTCTTTCGCCAACCTGAGGAAGGGACGAGGCTCATTTGTAACACATACTATGTACTGCCGATATGCTAGCAGCAACGAATGATCTACTCTTGCACTTTTTTCGCTTGTACCCATGCCTATATTGCCAAGGCATGTGGTTTGTTCATCCCCAAATCCATTTGCAATGTTTCCCCAGTTATCATATCAAGGTAACTGACAACTGATCGCGTTCGGTTTCCCCGGCGCCAAGGGACGTATAAACCTCAATTCCATGCGATTTCGACTCAAACCACAAAATGGGTCGATTCTGGGCTTGACATAGTCTTGGAATTATATATCCATGATTGGGTCTTGTCAGACGTTCTCTTGTCATTGCGTTTGCGCTGATAGTTCTGGTAAGCTTACATTAGAGCACAGCGCAAGCAACTGACGTGGGTGTAGATGAAGCAAGATCCAATGCACTCACTTACCACTGACGCTACTACCTTTTGGGGCGCCTGCGCAAGTCTTATTTTACCTCTGTACCTAGCCTCATCGCGAGTGCGTAGGGTCCTTTCGCCTCTTTCACCACTCCTTTCGGCTTGGTACCTTTTCTTTATAGGCAAAAGTTGGCGAAGAAAAGCAGAGATGGAGCATGTGCTCCTAGTGCGGGTAGCGAGAGCCTGAGCGCGAGCGCGTGAAACTTGTGAGAGGGCTATCCTCCCCCTATGTTTCGATCTATGGTAGCAGATGAATATGTGCTCAGAGTCCGGTCCAATATCACGCGGTAAAATTGATTGCTGTTCACAATTCCAATTTCTAAATTTAGCTAATAGACTGCCAAAAGTGGTACCTCTCCATCTCCTGCTTCAGATTTCTTATCCATCTTCCCCGTCTCAACCATGATCAAATTCACCCGGACATAAGCCTGAAAACCCGTCACCCGGGCATAGGGGTTGTGTTACGCATTGTGACGCTCCAAACTCGGTCGTTATCGTGCCAGTACAGTAGCAATTGGGCATCTAGATAGGTGCGTGAAGCTACATGCGCGGACCGTAGATGGAGGCGTGCCTCTTGGTAGACGCGGTGTTCGATGGCACAAGACATCGATTTTGTGGGTTTCCTTCTTTGGCAGCCGGCTTAGCCAGAGACGATACCGTTGAATTGGATAAATGAGACAAAATGAATTCTTCCAAAACACGCCCACGTGATGAGTATGGCGTACTTTATCAATGCGAATCGCACTTGCGTGTTCCCCGTCTCCTTCCGGTGTTTAGGGGCATGAAGTCTCTCGTAGGTATCTCACTGGCCCTTGCAGCCACAGCTCTAGCCCATCAGCCATCAAGTCGTAAATCCTTGGGCTTTGGGCCAAAGAATCCCCTCGTTAAGTTTGTCACGAATCCCGCCCGCGTCCCAAGCTTCGTCCCCTTGACGACCCCGAGGGATGTAGCGGTTAATTTCCTCACCTCTATCCAGGCTGCCCGTCCTGGCAGTCCCAATGTCGAGGGCTTGGACTATGTTATTCGAGATGATTCGTACACGGATGAACGAACAGGGGTTTCCCATATCTATGTTCGCCAACTGTGGAACGGTGTTGAAGTGGCTGATGGAAATATAAATCTCAATATTATGGATGGCGAGGTCATTTCGTACAGCGACTCGGTATGTTTGCTTTTTGAGGATCGAGATCAATATTGAACCGTTCTTGTGACCAGTTTTTCCGCGGGAAAACTTCTGAGGACTTCTACAACCGGGAGCCTGCTGAGGATTTTCACGCCGTCTTCTGTGCTCATAACTCGGGATCCGTTGAAGAGCCGAACTGGAACGAACAGCTCGTTATTGGTCACGACACCTTGTCTTCCAAGTCGGGACATGTCAACTGCAACACGATTTCCACTATCGACAAGGCTCGTTTGATGTCGCTCGCCAAGTCGGACTTGTCGCAGGAGGGCTCCAATGAGCCACAGAAGGCGTTGTTACACTTCATGATTGCCGCTCATCCATCTCCTGAATATGCTGAGTCATTGCTAAACAATTTCGATGAGCTTGTGAAGAAGATGGACCTTGTTTTCACGTCCCACCTCGTGGGTGCCAGCCACTATCCTACTGTGGAAGTTAGGAATGTCCCTGGTGCCGTGAATCCCGTCAAAGCCAAGCTCGTATATGTCCAGTCTCCCAATTTAGAGGATACTCAGCTCACCCTGACATGGAAATTCGAAATCGAAATGCAAGATAATTGGTATGAGGCCTACATAGATGTCTCTCACCCTTCGCATATCCACACCGTCGTTGACTGGACATCCGATGCGCCGATTCCCGAGCCTAAACCGTCCCTCGTGCCAAAATACACTGTCTGGCGATGGGGCATCAACGACCCATCTGAAGGTGTTCCTTCGGTTGAATCTGGCTACGATAGACTGGCTAGTCCTCTCGGTTGGCACACCTTGCCTCTCGCAAATGACCCATCTGAATCTGCGCTCGGGCATGATCCCGGTCAACTGCGTAACACTACCACAACTTGGGGCAACAACGTGAGACTTCCACTAGTGAATGCTCCTCAATCTGAGCCATTTGTTTCGCAGGTTTTCGCTCACGAGAATTGGGAGGGTGCCAATAACTGGATTGAGAACTATCGGCCTGATGCCCAAGATCTCAACTTTGACTACAAGTACGGTACAAAGAAGAATGAACCCGCCTCAGACCCAAAGGATTACGTTAACCTCACTGTCACGCAACTCTTCTATACGGCGAATAAGGTATGTCAAACTAACGATCTTTTGGTCAACCACTCAATCCGTGAAACTCAGGTTCACGATTTATTCTACCGTTACGGATTCGACGAAGTCAGTGGGAATTTCCAGCAATATAACTTTGGAAAGGGGGGAAAGGAGGGTGACGGAGTCATCGCCAATGCTCAAGATGGCAGTGGTTACAATAATGTACGAGAATTTGCTGAGTCACAGTGTAGATTCGTCGAAACTGATCCCTTGTCTCTCTCTCCTTAGGCTAATTTCGCAACGTCGGTATCTTCTTGGATCCCTAATTGATGTTGTCTCATCAGAGTTTCTATAGTCCTCCAGATGGGCAACACGGGCGCTGCCGCATGTACATTTGGAACACAGCGGTCGTAGGCATAGTTTTCTTTTTGTCGCCCGAAAATAGCGTGACTGAGAAAGTGTTGATCTCTCAGCCCTACCGCGATGGTGATTTAGAGTCTGGCATTGTTATTCACGAGCTTGCGCACGGTTTATCCACCCGTCTCACTGGCGGTCCTGCTAACAGCGGCTGTCTTGGATGGGGTGAAAGCGGTGGCATGGGTGAAGGATGGGGTGGTGAGTGGTTTGCATTCAGCAATGCTTCCGGTGACCTTCAACTTTCTTATGCCAGACTTCATCGCCACTACTGTCCGCAGTACTAGCGCTTACAAGGATTATCCTATGGGTGCTTGGGCTGCAAATCAGGAGCGGGGCATTCGGAACTATCCTTATTCAACTGTAAGTGAAAAAATGATCATGTGTGCGTGTTTATTTATGCTGATGATTTTTTTTAGGATATGAGCATCAATCCCTCCACCTACAAGACGTTGGACAAGCCTGGTTACTGGGGCGTTCATGCCATCGGCGAGGTTTGGGCAGAGATCCTCTGGGTTATCGAGCAAGAATTCATTAAGAAGCACGGATTTTCGGACACACTCTTCCCACCCCAGCCTGATGAGAATGGCGACATCCCAGAGGGGGATTTCTATCACAAGCAGGAGTACAGGGCCGACGGCACCAAGAAGCCTTTGGTACCCAAGCACGGTAACTCTTTGTTCTTGCAGCTCGTGATCAATGCTATGAAGTTGCAGCCTTGCCGTCCTTCGTGCGTTTGCTCTTCGTTATCGCCCTCGATGAGGCTCATGCTGTTTGGTTAACACTAGATTCTTCGACGCTCGTGATTCTATCCTCCAGGCTGACCGAATCCTTACCGGAGGCAAGAACCAGTGTGAGCTTTGGATTGGATTCAGTCAGCGTGGATTGGTATGTTACTATCGTTGCGCGATAACATATCCGTATACTGAGTCTGGTCTACCATAGGGTCCTGATGCAACCATTATTGGCTCCACTCCTTGGGGTGGAGGTGTCCGCACTGATGTGAGTTCGCGAAAATTTAGCTCATTAATGATCGCTCAACATCCTTCCTTTCAAGGATTTCGACGTTCCCCCTGGTGTTTGCAACAAGTAGAGGCGTACTTTCGAAAGATTCAATCGGCGATGGATACAAGATGTCGAATTATACATACATTACAGTACTACCATGGGTCGTCTATAGCTTTTTTTAGACTATTGGTACTACCATTCTATATGGCACTTCAACGTCTTACAAATTTCTGTGTGGATCCTCATTATACGTGTACAATTAGGTCAGCTATGGATCTGGGTTGGATTGGTTTCATGTTGTCAGCATGCGCCACAGTGTGTCAATATTGCTGTCATTGCATGCTGTTTTGCGTCCGCAGAACTCGGTTAAACGAACTTGGATCGTTGCGCGCGCACTGCTACGGATCGATCTAGCTCGCTGCAAGTCCAAACCAGTATTTGCTTGTGTAAACAGTAGCCAAAGCCAGACGAACTTCCGTGTCTTGATTGGTTTCGAACGCAGCAATGATAACAGGCATAACCGGATTTCTTTCACTGATGAAAATTTATTGCCGGTTGTAAGTATAACCGAAATCAATGCCATCAAGCTTTGCTAGGACTTTCCCCTTTCGGTTCCGTCTGAGGTGATACCTTTCTACTCTTTTCAGGTGCTGATCGATATGCACCATGCACACTCATTCACTTTGATGCTCACGTACGTATTAACCATACTGAATTCTGCCTCCTGTGTTTTGCGTCTCGGTGCTCGAATCATTTTCCCTTTCCTTGCGACGTCCAAAGCTCTTCGAGCACGATCCAACACTTTCGGTCAAATGTCAAACATCGCCGTCGGGCCCGTTTAGTCATCCATCGGGTAGAACGACGTTAGTGGCGTAATGCATGCTTTGCCGCTAGCTCATTGCGTCCTCGAGTTCTATCTTTCTGCGGCTTTCGACATGCTTTTCCTAAGTAATTATATTGAAGAATCAAGTATGTTGATACTGCAATGTATGCTAAGCAGCCCAAAAAGTGTGAGAGCAGTCAGCCGACCTTCACTGGTTATTACCGTATGCTGCTAAGGGGGAACTCAAATGACCTCGTATAAACGACTCTACACATACTATATTTCGAAGCTGAGGCTCTTCGACAATTATGCCCCTATGTGGCGTAGGACTATCGAGAGCATATTCGGTTCCTTGTATCGGAAGACTAGAGCGCTAGGGCGTGACCCAACGGTACCCAAGACCCACACGATGCCTAGCTAATTGTTCCTTGTGAAGGCCAGAGTGTGATTCTCCTTGATCGTCTGACGAATACGCAAACGCCTTATTATCCCCCTGAACTTGGGTCAATGCTGGTGATGCAGAGTGAGCAGCAACACTAGGTGATGGCCCATAGGCATGGGCGTTTGTGGTCAGCGTGTATTCAAGAGTCATCCTTACGGCGGAGGTCAATCTCGTCCGCGTCTCGAGAAAACGCCCTTCTTCAGGTAAGGAAGCACTTGAAGTTATCTCACGAGGCAATAAATTAAGTATTGATGGCGCATTGGGCTCAAGTCCATATCGAGTGGCCGTGCTGGATGACGCCTCTGCTGCGTGGGAATAGCCCAAAGAAGTTGTTTAATGTCTCAGTACTTCATTGGTAGCTTCATATGATTCCTGTACGTCGAATTGCAATCAATCCGCCTCGTGTCAACCGCTGGCTTGCCGATATGTTACCAATTGACGGTGACTAAATAACCTGGTGGATCAGTAGAAGAATCCACGGGTGTGCAGTATGGGGCAGTTCGGGTCCTGGGTTTCATCGATCAGGTAAGTTCTATACCTGATCTTTAGGTGTTGCTCAGCAGTGAACGCGTTTCACAACAGGAATCAAGCGGATGGGAACTAAATATTGGTTTCATGCGTGAGACTACCAGAAAATGGGAGTGAATAAACAAATGTATGCCGCGAAAATGGCGCAGTGGGAAGTTTATGGGGACCATATTTGATGGATAATGCCCCTTCCACGGTATAAATATGCAGGAAGACTGCAGCGTGCTATACCCCCTTGACGGACTTGGAACTGTACTGAGTGGCTCATTAGTCTGTTCAACCCCGTGCCGATTGTGGGGATGTGTGATCCTGGTCATCCAATTTGTACCACATGCAATGGGTGGGTAGGGTGAGTAAACCCCGCAGAGCGGATCGGTGGTTTGGGGAGAATATAATGGTCCACAGCAGTGCGATTCTAAATGTCCACACGTCCGACACTGTTGATCATCGTATTTGAACGCGTGTGACTCACTGGAGCGCCGTCATCGCCATCGAGAGACATATTGTAGGGGAAGGGAACACTCGGGATCCACAAGATGAACATGGTGAGCGAAGTGTTGCCTTGGATGCAGATGCTATCCGCAGTGTATGCAAAGCAGCCCAAAACGTGTGAGCAGTGGGGCTAAGGGAGAACTCAATGAGTATCAACGACTCTACATATATGTTTCGAAGCATTATCCCGTGGCGTAGGACTATCGAGAGGATATTCGATTCCTTGCATCGAATGACTACGTGTGACCCGACCCGACCCAAACAATGTAGATGCCTAGCTAACTGTTCCTTGTGAAGGCCAGAGTGTAATTCTCCTCAATCGTCTGGTTCCGGGTGGCTTCCGTAGTTCTGAAAGGGAGATCCTTTTGTCGACTGCATTTTGCACTAAATTAGCGCTTCCATCTTTTTTTTCCGTAAAGTCTTGAATATAATGCGCAATCTTCTGTGGAAGGTGCACTCCTGGTCGATCGACAATCAGTGGTTAGCAGACAGACTGTCAGTCAAGGTATCGACAGTTAAGGCAAGTTTGTGGGATTCCAAGAGCATGCTGTTTCCGCCAGCGAGCGCGACGAATATGGGTTGAAATGTGCTCGCCGATAGGGAAACGTAAACCGCAAACGCCTTATTATTCCCCTGGACCCGCGTGATGTAGAGTGAGCAGCAACCATGGGCGTATGTGGTCGGCAGGAACCATCCTTACGGCGGAGGTCACGGAGGTTAATCTCGCCCGCGTTTCGAGAAAACACTCTTCTTCAAGCAAGGAAGGACTTGAAGCTATCTGGAGCAATGGGTACGAGGCAGACGGCGCAAGCGCATTGGGTTCAAGTCCATAGGGCTGACATCTCTGCTGCGTGGGGATAGCCTAAAGAGGAACTGGGCCACTCAGAGTCTCACTTTTCGAAACCGTTAATTGGTGTGATACCTTCACATGATTCCTGTGCATCGAATTTATATTTACTTCCAACGATCGGGATGAGGCGCTGATCGCAATCAATTCGCCCCGTGTCAACTCTGGCTTGCTGTGATTGTGCGGTGACTAAATCCCTTGATGAGGTGGACTGTTGGTGAATTTTCCCCGTCGCGCGGGCCGTACTTGCAAGGACGCCAGCGACTCTTAAATAACCTGGTGGATCAATAGGAGAATCCGCGGGTGCGCGGTGCGTGGTAGTTTCGGGTCCTGGGTTTCACACCTGCTCTTAGGGATGCTCAGCAGTTGAACAAGGCGTTTCGCAACAGGAATTAAGCGGATGAGAACTGAATATTAGTTTCATGCGTGAGAGTACGAGAAAATGGGAGTGGATAAACAAATGTATGCCGCGAAAACGGCGCAGTGGGAAGTTTATGGGGACCATATTTGATGGATGATCCCCCTTCCACGGTATAAATATGCAAGAAGATTGCAGCGCGCTATACCCCCTTGACGAACTTGGAGTGGCTCATTGGTCCGCTGCTCTACTCCGTGCCAACTGGGGCTCGAGGAGCCGGTTCGAGCCATCACCGGCTGCGCATGCACTGGTGTTCCTGCCTGCTCTTTGTTATTGGTTGGTTCGGAAGTCTGGCGGCGAGATGAACGGAGTGATGAGACGATGTGGGAGTGCGGGGTTTTTGTGACACTACGCTTACCGAACCGATTTTCAAGTGGAGATCCTAATACAAGAATCCCCCCATTCTGGACGTCCGAGTCAGTCGTCGGCCCTCCAGTGGAAGTCATGAAGTAGAAAACGTACGCTGGACCCGTCATGACCGGGAGAATCATTATGGGGAGCATCCACATCTCCACTTTGTGGAGATATAGGACTAAGGGCTATGCCCTCGTCGGAACTTCCCCGTGGTGTAATGCGGAGGACCAATATCAGAAATGATAAATAGTGTACCTGCACAGACAACATCAGATTTCTGCATGTATTAATGTCGAACATAAAGGAAAACTAACCGGTCCGGACAAAACCGACATCAAATCCATGACAAGTGGATTGGGCTATGTAGTGGTAAAGGATGGAGATGAGCCGGTCCGCGAGCTCTTGTCAGATGATGTCTCACCCAAAAGAGGAGGAGAAATCCTCTTGGGAGTTGTACAGGGAGAACGAAGAGGAAAGCAAGAATCTTGAGAGTTATTTAATATAGTGTGGCGTTTGACAAGTGGCCTTTATGTACACAACGCTGCCTCCATTTGAATAATGTTTGCTTGAACATATCATCAGAAGATGGTTGTCGCAGCCCTCTGCTAAGAATTCGCCGTTGTTCTACATGCCAGAGAAGGAAGAAAGTGATGGCGAAATTCATGAGCAGGCAGACGGTGCCTGTGAACATGGCCGTCGCCATTATACGGTTTCGTCGTTGATCGTGTGAACTGACGGGGGGAACAGAAACTGTAGTATGAGGTCGTCACGATGAGTAAAGCAGCAAGAACTTACGGCCCTTGCTCCGCTAAAATTACTCCATAAATAGACAGTGCTGTTGAAGGTGTTAAGCAAAGGAAACGTGTGAGACACAATAGCGCCCACCGGACTCAGCTGCACAGAGAAAAATTGTGACCACCAAACAAAATAAGACAACTGGGTGCGTCAATCGGCGGCAGCTGAAGCATGTACAGATTGACCGTAAGGCTCTGACCGTCTACAGCATTAGACTCTAGAGTGGATGACGAAATGGAGACCTTGCCTGGAGCTTAGGAATACTGAAGGCAAACACAATCAGAGTGGGAACATAGTCAATGGCCAGAATTATACTACTCACAGTGAAATCCGCTGATTGTTGGAGCAGAGGCTAACAGAGTGCAACTTCGGAGTGTCGTTGCAGC